CTTCAGAGGAATTAGTACAAGGACTAATAAGAGCTTCCATAAAAGTGCAGTGGTGCAGGGACAATAGAGCCAAGGACCTGGCTCTGCCATAAACTGGCTTGTGGATAGCTGGGAGAGGCAATTGCTTGTGCAAGCACGCTCAGAACGTGAGAGGGGTCTGGAGAGGGGAGGTTTGTGAGGTTAATTCTGCTTTGTTGTGGCAAAGCATTTCTTCCCCACGCCCACGTACCTGGACTCTGTCCTTTGGACTTTTTGTGGCCACCAGGCCTCCCACTCAGGGGACACTCAGTGAGTTTATTCTGGACTCACTATCTTTAGCCCTGCACCTGGGAGCATAAAAAGGTTCCCGTGCTTGAGTATAGGCTTTGCTCTTTTGTGAGCCTGAGTCTGAACTATGTTCAGCCAGTTAGCTGGTCTCTTCATCTGTGCATGGGGTGCTGAGCCTCCCAGATTCTGTAAACCAGACACTCCTGCAGATGCACTCAGATGACCAGGTTCTGGTAAGGTCTGAGCCAGAGAGACACATCCTTCTTGAGCTGATAGAAGGGACCATCTGAATGGAGCCTCAGCGCCGGAGCTGTGGCTCATTCCCCCATTATCCACCATCCATGGGACTCTGCTTACAGAGGGCAGATGGTAGCTCACCCTCGAGTCTCTCCTGTGACAGTTTCTCGTCTTTCACACCCTGTACCTCCTCTGTGCCACACAGTGCCTCCTTCATGCCTTTTCTTTCAACTCTCTCAAGCCTATCAGGGTCTCTCCATCTTCTCATCTTTCAACTTCAGATTCTACAATACACTGATTTCTTGTATATATTACAACATGACATGCCGCAAAGCAAAAGCATATGTGGGCATAATGTTTCCTCCTGTGATATTCTGTAAACTACTGGCCTGTCTGTGCTATTAGGTCCAAAGCCCACACTGATAACAGTCAGAAGTAGGGTGTGCATATGTGTGTGTGACAATCATCCTGGGCAGATCAAGGCTAAAGGAGGCAAATTGCATTCAATCGAGTGACAGCAATGCTTCCCTGAGCAAACACCAGTCACAGTCATGGCAACAGAAACACGTGAGTTATAAAAAACACCTTGTGAGGTTTATGTTAACATTAAATGAGAGCGTTTGTAGCAAACAACACAGAACTAAAACACATAGTCATTTGTTTCTAAAGATTTATGTTTTTTTTTTGTTTTTAAATTATATGTAAGTGGAGTGTGTGCATGTATGTGGGAGTGTCTGAGAAGGTCAGGAGAGGAAGTTAGATCCCATGGAACTGGAGTTACAAGCAGCTTTTAGCTTCCTGGTGTGTGTTCCAGAAACTGAACTCTGGAAAAGCAGAAAGTGCTGCTCTTGACTGCTAAGCCATCTCTCCACGCCACAAGTAAACACTTCTTTAAAAATTGGAAGTCAACCCTCGCCTTATTGAGAAACTGTTGCTATTGTCCTCACGGTCATCTGTCACCAGTGCAGTCAGCTCAGGGATGCAGGTGAATTGTAGGCTAGATAACATAGAAGTCACTTAGGCTGTTGTTAAGCATGACACTGGGTGCTTCTTTCCTTAACACATTAGGTTTAACCTCAGTCAAGGGAGGAGGGAAGGAAGTGAACCCTGTGAGAATAGCAGGAGGCATAAGAACTCTCCAGGGCAAATAGAGTCCCTCTCAAAAGTTACTGTTTCAAACCATGAACAGTGTCCTGGAAACCCATCTACACTCCTAATGACTTAAAAAAACTTTTAATTATATTGTTACTTTTGTTTTGTTTTGCATGCTCACATACCCACATAGATACATAACTTCATTTGAAAACATACGTGGTCACGCAGGGAAGATAGGAGAGAGGAAGATGAGCCAATAGGAATGGTCTCTCCTCTCTTCCCTTTTGCTCCCAGGGTAACTCACAGACACAGACACTTACGTTATTTTCAGTTCTCTCTGTAACCATTCCCTGTTCTGAGGAAAGGCTTGTCCCTGGGTATCCTTACCAGCCATGCAGTTGTCTCCTGCTGCAGGGTGTGCAGGGTGCATACTTTGCCCAGGGTTTGTCATTGCGACGATGTGCCTTTGTCTGTTTTTACTACTACATCTTTATTTTTAAAAAATACACTTTATTAAAAAAAAGGCAAATAAAAAATTATACAAAAATTAGCTATCCATCTTAATGAGCTTCAGTCGGAATAAACATTCTGAAGTTCACATTTGAACTTCACCCTGGACTTTATATTTTCACTACACATTTTAATGTACTTATATACCAACAAATCCCCCTAATCCTTGATAGAACTAGAAAAACAACTAACTATATTCTCATTCGTAACTTGTAACTATTACCTGTATTCAGTTCTTTCTCGTCTATTCATTCATTCATCCATTCATCATGTGTATGTGTGTGTGTGTGCACATATGCACTCACTCACACATGAAGTAGTGTGAGGAATACTTGCAAGAATTGGCTATCTCCTTCCACCATGTGAACTCCAGGGATCGAATTCAGGTTGTCAAGTTTGGTAACAAGTACCTTTACTAGCTGAGTCATTTCACTGGCTCCCTCCCTGCCTTTTAAAAAATAAACAAAGACTCTTGATAAGGCCTATGTGGTCTGCTACTCAGTTACAGGTGCTGGTGGAACCTGCCCTGCTTCTGGATCTCAGAGAACCTTGTTTGTATTCTGCAAGGGACCACGGCATGTTGTTATGCCCCAGACATTCTTCTTTCCAGCTTTTTTTTAAACTTCCATTCTTTCGGCTTTCTGGTCAGGAGGGCCTCCCCGGGACCCAGGTTCTGTGCACGCACTTCACAGAACATATTCATCCTGTGACTCAGTGATTCACAAATAGGACTGTCATTCCCCATCCTCTCGGTGACCAGGCAATACAGTCACGTGGATAGGACTGTGTCTTTCGCTAATCTTGTCCACCAATATTAGAATTTCCCAAATTCTCAGGATGCATGGGTACTAAAAAAAAAAAAAGGCTGTTGAATCAATGAATCAGCAATAGTTTCGATGTTGAATGCTACTAAATTAGAGCCTCTCTCAAAGTGGTAGAAGTGCCCAGACAAACATAAATATATATGACTCATCAAAATTAACCATATGTGCCTAAAGAAAATAGTCACACTTAAACAAATTATCATCCTATATGTACATTCACTGACCAAATATAATTTTAAAAATAGATAAAATGCTTACTAGGCAATGTCAGGCATGAAAAATTAACACAGATGTAAAGCTTATTTTAAAACTAACATCAAACTGGAGAATGGGTTGGGGGTTGAGAACATTGACTGCTTTTCCAAAGGACCTGAGTTCAATTCCCAGCAATCACATGGCAGCTTACAATTGTCTATAACTCCTGTTCTAGAGGATCCAGTACCCTCACACAGACATATATGTAGGCAAAACACCAATGTATATACAATAAAATAAATAAATAATTTTTAAAAACTAACACCACATATAACTTTTTACTACTACATTTGAAACTCAGGAAAAAGAAGGCTTTTCCAAGAAAACATAACTAAGTGAAATCTGTCTAAGAAGTAGGATTTATGAATCAAGTAATGACCATTAAACAAACTGAAGTGTTAGCTTAAATGCATCCCCTTGTAGCCTGTGCAAAAATACAAAGAATCCATAATAGGTCTCTTAACTGATGAGTATGGCATTGATTTACCACTCACCCCCTCGCCCCCCGGGATCATACCAGAGCAGCAACACCGATCTCAGTGCTGAATGGAGGAGCCAACAAACCCCAGAAGGTCATCAACATTTTTCAGGGAAAGCGACAAGGGAGGAATTGTCATAACGAAGTTATGCTTGGGAATGGTGACTTCACTTGCAAGCAGTCCTACAACTTGGGGGCTGAAATAGGTCTGTGAAATGGGGCTATCCTGTGCTATATGGCAAGAAGTCATTTGAAAGCCAAAACAAAAATGGAGTCACCCGTGCCAGTCCTTCCAAACCAATGGTTGTTACATATGCTGATCAGAACTAAATTCTTTCCAGTATAATTAATAACACTGTTCAAATGGAAGCAGAGGCAAGAAAATTCTAAACATTTTCCTCAGAGTCCACCATCAAGGAGCTATGGAGACAAAGAGGACCGCATGCAACTTATTTCCCTGGACGCTGCCTGGCTGTGGCTCCATGCTGTGCTCCGCTTTATCATGATGCTGCCTCTCTTCAGTTTGAATGCGGGTTGCTTTTCACTCACACCATTGACAACCCCATTCTCATTTCTCATTTTGCTCGGTTCATTTTCTGTCTGATTCCTTTGCTTTGGCCCAGGCTCCTGCTTGTTCTGCACAGGCATGATAATCACCCAAGGACTCTTCAGTTGACCTACTTGTTCCCCTTCAAGACTGAAGGCACAGAGATAAGTCCTAACCCTGGAGTCACCCTGGACGCCAGGGACAGCAAAGTGCTAAGAACAGACTTCTCCCCCTTGAAATGAGGACAGCTATCTAGGATGGTGAGGCCACACTCCAAGCACATTACCATTCAGGAGCCAGACTGGTCCCAGACAGTGAAAGCTATAACAAAGGATTTTTTTTTTAATTTTTATTGTTTTACACAGGGTCTCACTCTATAGATCAGGTTGGCCTTCAAAGTGATTGAAATCCCCCTTCCTCTGCCTGCTGAGGGCTGGAATTAAAATTGTGCATCACCATCCCTGGCTTCTAACAATATTTTATTTGGCCACTTTCATAGCCAGACCTGAGATAACAACATCGTTATTTCTCTTTAAAAAAAGAAAGAAAAGGCACAAATCACAATCACAAACCTCATGAAAACACAAAACAGAAACCAAAACATACAAGCATAAGACCAACAAGACAAAAAAAAAAAGTCCAAACAAAGCAAAATGAGGCAAATCCTACCATGTTCATTTCTGTGTTGGCCTGGTCACGTGACCTACCATGTAGTATGTGGTTAATATACCCAGTGAGAGTCTATTGGAGAAAAGCACATTTAAACTCTCTGTGGGTAATTACTTACAGATAGCTTCTTGGTTAGGGGTGGGAGCACATGTTGACTTCTCCCTCTAGGCACCAGGGTGTCATCTAGTTTGAACCTGTGCCTGCTGCCACAGTCTCTGTGACTTCCTGTGTGCATCAGTCATGTGTCTGGAAGACACTTTTCATTGGAGTCATTTATCACCTCTGGCTCTTAAAATCTTCTTGTCTCCTCTTCTTCACGGCTCCTTGAACCCTGAGGGGAGGGGTTTGATGAAGACATCTCATTGAGAATTGAGTACTTCAAAGTCTCTCACTCTCTGAATTTTGCTTAGATGTGGGTCTCTAAGAGAAAGCTCTGCTGATGGATGAACAAGATACTGATCTATGGGTATAGCAGAGTGTCCTTAGGAGTCATTTTATTGTGACGCTTATTCATGAGAACAGTCGTGTTTGTTCTTTCCCTATGTCCGTGACCTATCTAGTCTCAGACACTCAGTCACTTTAGCAATGTCAGAAATGGGTTTCATGTCATGGAGTGGGCCTTAAATTCAATCAGAAAGGGGTTGGCTACCCCTACAATGTTTGTGACCAACACATCTCCCAGGGAGGTGACCTCTGTGGGCCACAGGATTTTTAGCTGGGTTGATAATTATTTTTCTCTTCTGTCCCAGGAGCTTATCTATAGGCTGCTGCATCTCCTGTGCTCAGCACTCAGATCCAATGATTTACACTCCTGCTAGTAACATTTCTATCTTCAAAAACTTATAGACTGGTCATGCAGCGTCAGAGGAGGGACAATATACTTAGAAGGTCTTGGCCTTAAATTCTGAATCTCTCACTTAGAATATGGGTGGCCTTGGTCTATCTTCTAACCTCTTGTTTCAGATATATTTGTCACTGATGTGATGGCTATTCTTGGTTGTCGATTTTACTATATCTGAAATTAATAGCCAAGTGGTTAGGTATGCCTGTGATGAGTTTTTTTCCTTCCTTCCTTCTTTCCTTCCTTTTTTCTTCTTTCTTTCTTTCTTTCTTTCTTTCTTTCTTTCTTTCTTTCTTTCTTTCTTTCTTTCTTTCTTTCTTCCTCTCTTGTTGTGTGCAGGGGTGGTGTGGTGTGGGGGATGATTTAGACAGGGTTTCTCTGTGTAGCCCTGACTCTTCTGGAACTCTCTGTAGATTAGGAGGGCCTTGAACTCAGAAATCCATCTGCTTCTACCTCCTGAGTGTTGGGATGAGAGACATCTGGTACTGCCACTCAGCAGGGATTCTTCTTAATTAAGTCCCTTGAAGTGGGAAGATCCAACTTGAATCTGGGCCACACTTTCTAAAGACAGCCTACATAAAGGACATGGAAGAAGGAAGCATTTGCTCTCTCTCTCTCACTGCCAAGTCCATTTCCTCATTGGCATTAGAGCCTAGTTCTTTGGGATCACAACACATACTGAAGACCAGCTGAGACATTAAGACTCCGGAACTAAACAATCACTGGATTCTTAGACTCTCCATTGGTAGATGACCCTTGTTAGACTAGTTGGACCATAGCCTGTAAGACACTTTAATAAATCCCATATAAATATACATTTATATATTCATTCATCTATTGGTTACATTTCTCTAGAGAATTCTGACTAATACTTTGAATAACAAAACATTGAAGAACTTTGGAGCTTGAAACATTGACTGTTTCATTATTCATTAGAATTCCTTAAGCCCATTGGGCTAGCTCTTACATTTTGCATGGTGTTGGTTATAAGATTAAATCTCAAATTAGTTTTAATTGGCATTTCCCATCTTAAAAGCCTTTCTTGGCCTTTTGTGTTTCATCTTTTGAGAACTCTCTGCTTAGTTATATACACCATTTTTAAATTGGGTTATTTATTTTCATGATGTTCAGTTTTTTTAGTTCTTTACATATTCTAGATACTAACACTTTATTGGATATATAATTGGTAAAGATATTTTCTTTTTTTTTAATTTATGTATTCATTTATTAAAGATTTCTGTCTCTTCCCTACCGCAGCCTCCCATTTCCCTCCCCCTCCCCCAATCAAGTCCTCCTCCCTCGTCAGCCCAAAGAGCAATCAGAGTTCCCTGACCACCCACCTCCATCCAGGTCTAGTAAGGTGAGCATCCAAACTGCCTAGGCTCCCACAAAGTCAATACGTGCAGTAGGATCAAAAACCCATTGCCATTGTTCTTGAGTTCTCAGTAGTCCTCATTGGCCTCTATGTTCAGCGAGACCGGTTTTATCCCAGGCTTTTTCATACCCAGGCCAGCTGGCCTTGGTGAGTTCCCAATAGAACATCCCCATTGTCTCAGTGTGTGGGTGCACCCCTCGCGATCCTGAGTTCCTTGCTCGTGCTCTCTCTCCTTCTGCTCCTGATTTGGACCTTGAGATTTCTGTCTGGTGCTCCAATGTGGGTCTCTGTCTCCTTTCATTGCCTGATGAAGGTTAATATTCAGGAGGATGCCTATATGTTTTTCTTTGGGTTCTCCTTCTTATTTAGCTTCTCTAAGATCACGAGTTATAGGCTCA